CTGCTAGTCCTGGTTACTGTTAGGCTAACCTGGCTTATTGGACTGCTAGTCCTGGTTACTGTTTGGCTAAACCTGGCTTATTGGACTGGTTACTGTCCTGATTACTGTTTGGCTAACCTGGCTTATTGGACTGCTGGTCCTGGTTAGTTTGGCTAACCTGGCTTGTTGGACTGCTAGTCCTGGTTACTGTTAGGCTAACCTGGCTTGTTGGACTGCTAGTCCTGGTTACTGTTAGGCTAACCTGACTTATTGGGCTGCTGGTCCTGGTTACTGTTGGGCTAAACCTGGCTTACTGAACTACTCGCAGTCAGAGGCTGCTGAAGGTGCACTTGAGAACTTTCCTCCAGGACTTGCAGTAAATATGGGGACATTTGGGGGCAAAGTTGGAGCAATAAAAGGGAATTGAACCTGTTCTCTGGCTGTGTTGCTTTCGTGCCACGCCTCTTTGGGTCATCACACCCAGGTTCTTAACTTCAAAACACCCCCCCACCCCACCCCCAAATATGAGGCCACCTACTTGGACATTGTCTCCGCAGAGAGATCTTCCGGATTCCGGACTTTTGTCTCACCTGCAACAAAACCGGGTCGAATTAAAAAAAGCATTCACCTGAATTAAGAACGCTTCTCCTCTATGGAGTTATCAATCAACCAATTCTTTTTTTTTAAAAAAAAAAAACACATTTTATTGGACAAAACAGTTAAAAACATTGAACATAGTGAAGTCGGTTTGACGTAACTTTTGGTCAGTCTCGCGCAGATATATATTTTCCCATATACAATTATTCAAATATATACATCCATACACTGGTTTGCTCATATATTTTCCAACCTCACTGGTCCTCTTTTCATCTCATCCGTTCATTTACCCTCTAAGGAATTCCTTCCCCAACCTAAGACCTTCCTTTCTGCTCCCACCATTGGTAGAATCTATCCCAAATTGCACAATATTCTGACTCTTTATTTTACATCTCTAAAGTTAGCTTGTCCATTTCAGCACGTATCAAGATGTTATTATTTTGTCTTCGCTCGGTATGTCTCTCTGTCTCTTTCCAGTTCTGGGCAAGTGCTATTCTTGCTGCAGTAATAATAGGTATAATCAATAGATAATGAATTGCAGAAACTAGATAAATAACTAGATTCCTTGTTAGGAATAACAAGGTTACCTAACGTAGTTTGGGTAAAATAATATATATATAAACTATGATAGTAAGTTTAAGTGTGTGTCACTTTAAACTGCAAAGCATGTAATTTTGGGTCCAGTTGTGAACCGCCATAAGAGGGAGCAAGAGAACCTGATGATTGCTGATGATTGCTGGTTTGATGGATTGATGGTTTGCTAACTGCGTGTTCCCTACTGCTGAGTTGCTGACGTCGAAGGAAGAAAGGAGTTTTGACTCCTTCATATCTCTACTGAGAGGAGATTTATTACTGGACTGATATTTGTAAGTTTACTGACCTCTTTTTCAACACTGGACTTTGCAACTGAAAAAATTCCCGGACGGACTGAACTAGTGAATGATATATGGACTGTTTGACTATGCTAAAACTCTTACTGGAATAAACTATTTAACTAGCACAGTGTATCTGTTTTACTGAGTGTAAGCTACAAAAACGTTTATCTCACATATTTTGCCTGACTGCCGTACAGATTCTGCTAGGGTGTATCCCTAACAAATCTTGATCGGCCCAGATGAGATATTATCATCAAGGTTATATAAACATTTATTAGAATTTGGAAGAGCGGAAGAAATTGTGAAAGGAACGGTGACTGCATGGGGTAGGAACGTTGGACATACTATTGATCTGGAAGAATGGGAAAAGATCTGGAATGTGAATTATAAAATAACAAAAATTGGCGGCATATAAGGAAAACCAACATAAAATGTTGTATCGTTGGCATTTACACCCTCAAGACTGGCTAAGATTTACCCAAATTTAAAACCAAATTGTTGGAAGTGTAGACAATAACAAGGTACCCTTCTTTCATTCTTGGTGGACATGCCCCAAAGTGAAAAAATACTGGAAAATGATTCAAACGTGGTTAGAAGAGTTAACTAAAAACAAAACTGATTTTGTCCCAGAATTATTCCTCTTAGGAATAATTAAAAAAAAAAAACTATAACAGAAAGACAAAATATCTTATATTACATATATTAACAGCAGCAAGAATTTCATATGCTCAGTACTGGAAGCAAAACTCCATACCACCTGAAGACATAATAATAATAATAATAATAATAATAATAATAATAATAATAATAATAATAATAACAACAACAAACAACAATAATAATAATAATAATAAATTTAGTGTGTGTGGAAATGGATAAATTAACTATGGAATTAAAAGGGAAAGCAGAGAATACAATGCAGTGTGGGAAACATGGTTTATTTGGATTGATAATAGATATAAGAATAGAAAATGTAAATAATGTATATAATAAATAAGAGGGTATGAAATTATTATGTATTGTAAGTTTTGATAGGACACGTAAGTGTATATATAATGTCACAGCGCTGTTTAATAACTATTGATATTATGTATTAATGGGGAAAAAAACTCAATAAAGCATTATAAAAAATAGTATAATCAAATAAAGCTCATCCTTAATTGTATTTTTCGACATGATTCTTAATAGAAAGCATTCTGGTGCATGATCTAATTTAAAACCCAACATTTCCTCCAGCCACTTCCCTGACTCTGGCGCTTTTTGGCAGCTCCACCACACACGGTAATATGTTCCCATTCCACTGAGCATTTCCAACAATTTGAGGACTGGCTTTTTTTTTTAATACATCTTAGCCAATCTGGCTGGAGGAAGATGCCATCGATAAAACATTTTGAGCATATTTTCCACGTATGCGGTGACCATGGTGCTCTTTCTATTCCTTTCGCATACCGTTTGCCATGGATCCAAATTAATACTGTACCCGAAATCTCTAGCCCATACCGCCATCGTCTCCTTGACTTGTTCTTCCCCTAATTTCATCAACCAATTCTTGATTACATCTGAATTATATCGGCTAAAGGGGAAGAATAGAATTAGAAGAGAATTCTTTATTGGCCAAGTGGGATTGGACACACAAGGAATTTGTCTTGGTGCAAAGGCTCTCAGTGCACATAAAAGAAAAGAGACATTTGTCAAGAGTCGAGAATCATAAGGTACGACGCTTAATGATGGTCATAGGATACAATAAGCAATCAATCATGTTAGGAAACGGTCAAGAAAAAGTTCTGGGTCATGGACAGCAGGTCTCTTCCGTTCCAGGAAAAGAACCATTGTAGTTATTGTGGATCATGGCGCAGTCAGCCAGACGTTTAGGCTGGATTTGGCCTTTTTTGGTCCACCTATCAAGTCCTTCCCAGGGACCCCATATTGGCAGATGAGGATGTCTTAACACCATCGCAGGATGTCAGCTGTTCCAAGCCAAGCTGCCTTTTTTGCAATTGACCGATGGGCAGAGGGCCACGGAGAATGGCCTAGGGAGAGCCAGCAGAGGAGGAAAGCTGGGTGCAAATGGGCTGAGGCTGGGGGAGAAGGAAGCGTGGCCAAGAATACGTGACCAACCATCCTAAACCTGTGGGAGAAAACTTTGCAGTTGTCCATGGTTACCAGGGGTGAAGCCGGGAAGAACTTATTCCCCAAGGACATCTGTCCAAGTTAGAGATGGGGAAGTATGGCCCTTTTTAGGACTCCTGGACTTCAACTCCCAGAATTCCTGAGCCTGCTGGCTGAGGGATTCTGGGAGTTGAAGTCCACAGGTCCTAAAAGGGCCATAATTCCCCATGGCTGGCTCAGAGATTCTGGGAGTCAAAGTCCACAGGTCCTAAAAGGGCCATAATTCCCCATGTTGGCTGAGGGATTCTGGGAGTCGAGGTCCACAGGTCCTAAAAGGGTCATAATTCCCCATGGCTGGCTGAGGGATTCTGGGAGTTGAAGTCCACAGGTCCTAAAAGGGCCATAATTCCCCATGTTGGCTGAGGGATTCTGGGAGTCGAAGTCCACAGGTCCTAAAAGGGCCATAATTCCCCATGGCTGGCTCAGAGATTCTGGGAGTCAAAGTCCACA